TGACGCCCCCCTTTTAATTTAATAAGACTTTCACTAGTTGAATCATAGTTCTAAACCATACCAAATGGCACCATTCACCATCTAAAATACCAACATTTTTCAGGGCCCTTTAGCGGGCGGGGGAGGGCGGGGGTAGTCAATTCAGTTTATGTTCACCTTGCAGGCTGTCTCATTTCTTCTTCAATAATTTATTTATAACTTTTATTCCGATTTCGTGACATCATTTGATCATAATTTTTGCTTTTCTGTATAGCAACAAGTATGACCAAATATATATATTGTTGTCAAATAAATCGATCTCTGTGCTGACAATAAAGAAGAAAGAATTCAGCATGAGGGACCCTTTGAATATCGCTTTTAAGCTTTCAAAAGCGGTCGAGAACGGTCCTGCACGCTAATCGCCCATAGACAGTCCTGCAAGGCCCCGTATCTCAAAGCATTGCTTATTGAGAATAGCTATATATATATCACATAGAGGCTACAATATATTATATGGGGAGAGCATGGGCGAGTTATTGGATCGAGATGCTTGCGCTCGGTCGCAATGCGTGATACTTTCGAGTTATGGTTTTACAAAAAATGTTGCCGCTCGACTAATTGCAAATTGAAGTCACCTTAATTTCCATGTCCCCAATTTGTTCTCTTTCGTTTGGTTCTGTCGTAATCTTTGTTATTTTTATTTCTTTCCTCAATTGTTTTTCTTTTGTGAACTTCTCTATCGGACTTGATAGAATTTTTTTCATTTTTGACAGCCCAAGATGAAAGCACGTGGGAAAAGAACTACATCTGTCGCACAGCGTAAACTCGCACGTTCACTCATAATTTGGGGATTCAAATTTTTGTAAAATTCTCCTTTAATTTGCCTCCGTTGCCTTTATTACTGTTGATTATAAGCACTTCATGTACCTATACGTCTATTTAATCAATATCATAACTTTTTATACTTTCACATTTTTATTACTCTCAACCTACAAATTGCTACTCGCGGTATCTCCTCTACACAAAACAATGACGTAACGTTATCTGCTGTGCACTGAAGCTGGTTAAGAACAATGTGCCTCGTTTCAAATTGTCTTTCAACTTCATATCACACAGACGGAACTTCGAAAACGAGGCCACTGAGAGGGAGACTGTTGGTTACATTTCGATACGAGCGTTCGATTGCAAGCTATGGTTAGTTCTTTGCTTCTATGAAAGTGGGTGAAAACAGTGAGTTTATTTTGCTGAAATCGCTTGTGAACATAGACAAAATAAAAGGTGAAAATAGGCTGTAAATTAGCCAGCCCGTCGGGCGGGTAATTTGCAAATCTTACCCGCCCGGCCTGAAAGTTACCAGCCTCGGGCTGGCGGGCAGGCGGCCATTTCATACACTGCCTTTGCATCCGAGGAAGAATTCTGAAATCATTCTTCACGAAGCAGTAGTCAGCTAATGGTGGCATATGCTCTTACCATTCATATACTAGCCATTTACCTTTGCATTTGAAATGGGGATTTGAAGAGAAGAAAGATCAAATATAACTCCCCAGGCAATGAATGCAAGGTTTCTTGAAGGTTGAAACATTGTCCTAGTAACAAAGAACTAATGATCAATTAATCCAAGAGATCGTTAATCCAAGAGGAATCAGTTCTGGTAAAGCAATAGAGCAGAGTATTTTTCCTTACTTCTTATCTGACACGGATTACTTTCTAATAAAACAGCCTGGTGGTGGAGAAATATCACCACATCATGATTTTAGGGATAATTTCTGCAGTATGAATGGTCAGAGACCCAGGTAAAAATGATCCTGTCTGTAAATAATGTCAAGAATTTCAGACAACTTAGTCAATAAATAGACCAACCTCTTAAGACACTCAGACCCCATTCCCAGAGATTAGATCGATCTACTTTAGATCGACCTAACTCCCTGGGGGTTCACGCTAAATAGCTGTCAGCCTAGCGGGCACTAAAGTTGATTACCCCCTACAGCTTGTAGTAGGCGGGACGGACATTTAAGCCGGATTATCTGACAGTAATCTAGTGAGACTCCCCGCGGGGATAGATCGATCTAAAAGCTCTGGGAATACGCCCTCAGTGTTGGAATATCCTTTATACTTAACCCAGTCCAATTACATAAGTCTATATATGTCTATATACACAAGGATTACAGTGGATGGAGGAAGCAGAATGTCTAATTGTTACAGTCAGAAATTTTTACATATAGAACTTGCTTTAATGATTTCTTTCCAATATTATGTGCATCACCGTGCTTATTCTATTTTGTGACTATCTAGAATTAAAGTGACTATCTAATTTACATGTGATTTATATTTTTCTACATACTTGTTTGCTGTGCATGACTTCACTTGTTTGAAAGTATCATCCTATCTAGGATTTTCATGTCAAATCTAATTTTCCTCAATAAAAAAGCCCGACACACAGATTATTACCTACTAGTAAGCTGCCTTCGCAGTTAGATTCCTTGGTTTATAATACTTCTAATAATACTTCTTATAATAATAATAATAATAGATACTTCCTAAATGTCTGGCCAAATATGTAAACCACAACAGTCTCCCTGATATTTTGAAAAAAAAAAACATATGTTACTCTTCTATGAAGAGTTTTCTTTTTTTAATTTTATTTCAAAGTTATTTGAATTACTGGGTAGCTTTTCATGATATCAGCACAAAGACATGACATTGAGACAGGTTTAAACATGCGCAGTCTACCTTTAACGAAAATGAAGTGATTGCCGTGCAATACCAGGATCAATACTTTACCTTGCATATTTATAAACACCTCTACATCCACCTGGCAAGCTGCCAGCCTAGCCATAATGAGACGGATATGAGACTTGCCAAATAATCAAAGAAGCCTTCTCCACTGCTTGCAACACTTACAGCTCTTAACAAGCTGCCGTTAATGGCAATCAGTAAAATACAAATCAAGACTCAAAGGTATGTCACCATGGTTCCAACATATAAACATGAATGATACCAGAAAAAAAAACATTAACTATACTCTTTAATTCTAATCTTATTACTAACTAATGAGCATTTTGGACTGCTTTTGAGACATGAAAAATTGATTGTCATGAGGAACATACTCCACATTTGTATATTGCACAAACAGACAGCAAACCTGTTTCCATATCTGCATGCTGCATTAACAGCACTATAAAGTAACCTGCTTTCAAATTTTGTTGCCACCAGTCAACAGGAATCTTCTCATTTTTAGAAATTACGACCTAAAAATCCAGTACCTGTAAATTTCACAATTTCCCCTATTGAAAAAAAAAATGGAATGTTAACCATACCTTATATTAGACAATTGAGCAGTCTACTGTTCTCAGTTAATGGTATAACTAAAACTGCAGTCATATCAACCTCCCCTCATCAACAAGGTGCAGTAACACCTCAATCTTTCTTACAGGGAAATTGTGACATTTGAAGGCTGTCACACTGATTTTTTTTTTTTTTTTTTTTTTTTGCATTATTTCTTTGAATAAGAACATTTCTATTGAATGATAACAACAAAACCTCATAGTTCTCTTCTATACATAAAAGCACCACAACTGCCATATAAAACTAAATCTTAATGGTACAAAAATTACATATCTGAGAGATTAATAACATGTGAAAAGATTGAGTAACTACTGGACGACCTGCACAGCAGCAATAAAGATATAACTTTTTAATAGTCCTGCTTTTTTTTTTCATTACAGAAACGTAGCCCTACTGTTGCTGCAATCTGATACTAGTACAGAAAGCTGTGTGAGAGTGCAAACAGTTCTAGCTCACCAAGGGTTACTTCATGTTTCTAAATGTGGACTGCTGAGTGGTAAGAATTCTGAACTCACTGACCAGTTCCCTAGATGAGAAGTCTTGGCAAGTTTACAAGCAACAATAACCATTTTCTGAATTCTTATCCTGTTGGTATAAATAGACGAGAAATGACTATCCAAGGACTGATTATAATTATTGCTGACAATCAGGAACAGTTGGCTCAATCTCATTACCACTATACAGTAACAATTTAAATCATTTAACACCTCCCTATTACTTAAATAAATAATGAACCTGGCACTTTCCTGCAGCTCTCCTTATTACCTAAGATGGACAGAATTCTCCACGTAATCATCACTGTAAGATATACAAGTCAACTATATTGTGTAAATGACCATGATAAAAATAACCATGTCCAGTATATAGGTGGAAGCACCCAGATTTGGCAATGCTTCATTGATTATATCATCATGTGTAGATAACTTACTTCTATGTTTATATAAGAGCATGCCCAGTACTTTGACTTTGGCTTGGACATACCTGAAAGCATAATCTTGTTTGAGTTGGGTCACGGGGAATGGTCCAGTGAATTTCCTCTTGGCTATTTGATACTTACATGTAGATTGATTCAGATTGAATTTCTTTTGGACTCCTGGGCTTCAGGAAGGATATCGTGTGTGTGTGTGTGTGTGTGTGTGTGTACGTGTGTGTGTGTGTGTGTGTGTGTGTGTGTGTGTATGAGTGTGTGTGTGTGTGTGTGTGCGCACATGTTTGTAACCCAGATTTAAAATTGACACAGTAGTAGGCTAAAAACATGAGGTGTAAAAAAAGGAGTCACGAAAAATGGCAAAAGGTGCCAATTCTGCATGATTACTAAATATCACTAGACTGAGCGTATTTGAAGGGTAACGAGGTCAGTAGGAGTTAGCTCTTTAGGTGGTGTTGGCATGCTTCCAGTCACAGACGAGTGTGCTTGTGAACACAGAATAGGACCAATCAAAAAAACACGGAAGCTACGTTCTGCACTTCACAGCTGCTTTTGTCAATGGGTCAGAAACATCTCACAATGTCAGGATGCGCAGAGTCAGTTTTCATGAAAAGGTCCTAATCTCAGTTTCACTATTGTATATTCTATTAGAAGATATGAGCTTCAACTACACGTATGTTCATTATTTTCAATTCTCTGCCTAAAGCAGTCAGAAAATATAAACAAAAACAGTAATAAATCAACTTACTTCACTGTCATATCCGACTCTGGGTTCATATCTATTTCTATCACCGTGGTCCCATCAATGTCGCGCTCCCTGCAGGGGGTGGAGCTCTTTCCACTGACCTTACACACCTGGTAGAAGCCGTGAGGGCGGACCTTCCCCGTGTCTGTGCCGATGAAGATCTGCAGGGTACAGGGCTGGTGATAACCCAGTAACTGACAAGAAAAAAGATACAAAAGGATACAAAGTGTACTTGTAAGTCATCACACTATTTCTAAATGATAGATACATTTTGTATACATTTTAGAAAAAAGTTATATAGTTTATAATATGGGAGAGGTGAATTATAATGATTGTTAACTTATATCCTGAAGAGAAGCAGAATTCTTAATGTGAAATCCAAGATTTTCCAACCTGCTGCACACCAGGTAAGGCATCTATCTCCAATGCTTTCTCAAATGACATAAAAAAAAACCCAAGGTCAAGCTTTCAAAGCAGCTTTACACCAATAGCATCATATAACCATTTTGAGAATTTTATATAACTACCTTGTACGTAAGCTAACACTAACACTCGATCAATATTAGTTATGAAAGAAAGTCATTCATATTTACTAGGACCTGTAACCAGATATATCAAAGCTTTAGTGCTGTGCCTGGTTTATCAGTAAAAATACCAGCATTTTTTTTTTTAAACAGTGGAATCTGCACATTTATGCCTTATTGAAGTACAGTACATTTTAGATCTTCACTTTAAACCAAGTTTAGGTCAAAAGTTACGATATTGTAAGACCCCATTCCCATACCTAGATCAATCAGGCAGGATCGACCTATTTTTGAAGGGTTTCTCGCTAAGTAACATTCTGCGTAAGTGGCTCTAATGTCTGGCACGCCTAGCTGTCAGGGGGGTAATTAACTATTGTTTAGCAGCACCAGTACGCGTGCCAGACATCTAAGGGCACATTCCCATAGATTTTAGATCGATCTATCCCGTGGGGAGTCTCACTAGATTACTGTCAGATTATCCGGTTTAAATGTCCGTCCCGCCTTCTACATGCTGTAAGGGGGTAATTAACTTTTGTGCCCGCTCGGCTGACAGCTATTTAGCGTGAACCTCCAGGGAGTTAGGTCAATCCAGTTGGATCGAACTAATCTCTGGGAATGGGGTCTTAGCCACTTAACCTGAAGGCAATTTTGCAAAATCCCCTCAGAGATGGATCGATCCAAATGGACTGATCTCGTTATGGGAACCCAGTCTAAACCCCATCTCCCAGACCCCCCCCCACCCCCCCACCCCCCCCCAGGCTGCCTCACCTGCACCACGGGGTTCCCCTGCTGGGACTCATCCTTAATAGCGCCTCGGCTGCCTTCAGTCATATACCTGGCCCTGTGCTGTTTCTCAGGCTGGGTCACCACTTTCAGCTCATACTCTCCCACCTTAGACACAAATGCCTGAACCAGGGACGGCTCTTTCCACCCCCGGGACTTGCCCAGACACGAACCGCTCGCCTCCCGTTTCAGTCCCTTTGAAATTACTACTGGCTTTGTTGATGGCCTATAAAAAAATAATAAATAATAATATAAACTGGATTAACTTAATGTAGAACAAAAATACAGAATAAAATCAATTAAAAATTTAGTGTTAGACCATCCTGGACATGAAAAGATGATGATGATGAAGATGATGTTGGAATTTTCTTAATAATCATCATCACCCTCAATCTAAAATCAGTCAAGGGACAAAAATGTTACTGAGAAAAACTTCCAACAATAATGTTCTTTGGCAATCCAATGATTTCTTTTTGCCAAAATCTAAATTCTATTTGATTTACCTGACCGCAATTTTGGATAATTAGCCAGGTGAAATGGGATTCACACAGAACAGGCCAAGGTTAAACAAACTACTGAAGCCAGCAAGCCAAGCAGGATATTCAACACAGACACATATACTATCTAAAAAACCCTTCCAGTATTTGAAAAAATGGCACAAATTAGCTTGACACATACTGAAAGCCAAATACAAACATTTGTAGCATTTAATTCATGATACATTCTCTTTAACAAGGCAGCAAAGCTGTCAAATGTACAGACAAAAAACAGGAAATAATTATGCACAAAATGGGCTACTGTCAATTCTGATGCAAAATTTTAATGATTGAATTTGACAAACTGCAATNAATAATAGATACTTCCTAAATGTCTGGCTAGATATGTAAACCACAACAGTCTCCCTGATATTTTGAAAAAAAACAAAAAAACATGTTACTTTTCTATGAAGATTTTTCCTTTTTAAATTTTATTTCAAAGTTATTTGAATTACTGGGTAGCTTTTCATGATATCAGCACAAAGACATGACATTGAGACAGGTTTAAACATGCGCAGTCTACCTTTAACGAAAATGAAGTGATTGCCGTGCAATACCAGGATCAATACTTTACCTAGCATATTTATAAACACCTCTACATCCACCTGGCAAGCTGCCAACCTAGCCATAATCAGACGGATATGAGACTTGCCAAATAGTGAAAGAAGTCTTCTCCACTGCTTGCAACACTTACAGCTCTCAGCCAGCTGCCGTTAATGGCAATCAGTAAAATACAAATCAAGACTCGAAGATATGTCACCATGGTTCCAACATATAAACATGAATGATACCAGAAAAAAAAAAACATAAACTACACTCTTTAATTCTAATCTTATTACTAACTGAGGAGCATTTTGGACTGCTTTTGAGACATGAAAAATTGATTGTCATGAGGAACATACTCCACATTTGTATATTGCACAAACAGACAGCAAACCTGTTTCCATATCTGCATGCTGCATTAACAGCACTATAAAGTAACCTGCTTTCAAATTTTGTTGCCACCAGTCAACAGGAATCTTCTCATTTTTAGAAATTACGACCTAAAAATCCAGTACCTGTAAATTTCACAATTTCCCCTATTGAAAAAAAAATGGAATGTTAACCATACCTTATATTAGACAATTGAGCAGTCTACTGTTCTCAGTTAATGGTATAACTAAAACTGCAGTCATATCAACCTCCCCTCATCAACAAGGTGCAGTAACACCTCAATCTTTCTTACAGGGAAATTGTGACATTTGAAGGCTGTCACACTTTTTTTTTTTTTTTTTTTTTCATTATTTCTTTGAATAAGAACATTTCTATTGAATGATAACAACAAAACCTCATAGTTCTCTTCTATACATAAAAGCACCACAACTGCCATATAAAACTAAATCTTAATGGTACAAAAATTACATATCTGAGAGATTAATAACATGTGAAAAGATTGAGTAACTACTGGACGACCTGCACAGCAGCAATAAAGATATAACTTTATAATAGTCCTGCTTTTTTTTTTTCATTACAGAAACGTAGCCCTACTGCTGCTGCAATCTGATACTAGTACAGAAAGCTGTGTGAGAGTGCAAACAGTTCTAGCTCACCAAGGGTAACTTCATGTTTCTAAATGTGGACTGCTATGTGGTAAGAATTCTGAACTCACTGACCAATTCCCTAGATGAGAAGTCTTGGCAAGTTTACAAGCAACAATATCCATTTTCTAAATTCTTACCCTGTTGGTATAAATAGATGAGAAATGACTATACACTGACTGATTATAATTATTACTGACAATCAGGAATAGTTGCACTTGGTTCAATCTCATTACCACTATACAGTAACAATTTAAATCATTTAACACCTCCCTATTACTTAAATAAATAATGAACCTGGCACTTTCCTGCAGCTCTCCTTATTACCTAAGATGGACAGAATTCTCCACGTAATCATCACTGTAAGATATACAAGTCAACTATATTGTGTAAATGACCATGATAAAAATAACCATGTCCGGTATATAGGTAGAAGCACGCAGATTTGGCAATGCTTCATTGATTATATCATCATGTGTAGATAACTTACTTCTATGTTTATATAAGAGCATGCCCAGTACTTTGACTTTGGCTTGGACATACCTGAAAGCATAATCTTGTTTGAGTTGGGTCACGGGGAATGGTCCAGTGAATTTCCTCTTGGCTATTTGATACTTACATGTAGATTGATTCAGATTGAATTTCTTTTGGACTCCTGGGCTTCAGGAAGGATATCGTGTGTGTGTGTGTGTGTATGAGTGTGTGTGTGTGTGTGTGCGCACATGTTTGTAACCCAGACTTAAAATTGACACAGTAGTAGGCTAAAAACATAAGGTGTAAAAAAAGGAGTCACGAAAAATGGCAAACGGTGCCAATTCTGCATGATTACTAAATATCACTAGACTGAGCATATTTGAAGGGCAACAAGGTCAGTAGGAGTTAGCTCTTTAGGTGGTGTTGGCATGCTTCCAGTCACAGACGCGTGTGCTTGTGAACACAGAATAGGACCAATCAAAAAAACACGGAAGCTACGTTCTGCACTTCACAGCTGCTTTTGTCAATGGGTCAGAAACATCTCACAATGTCAGGATGCGCAGAGTCAGTTTTCATGAAAAGGTCCTAATCTCAGTTTCACTATTGTATATTCTATTAGAAGATATCAGCTTCAACTACACGTATGTTCATTATTTTCAATTCTTTGCCTAAAGCAGTCAGAAAATATAAACAAAAACAGTAATAAATCAACTTACTTCACTGTCATATCCGACTCTGGGTTCATATCTATTTCTATCACCGTGGTCCCGTCAATGTCGCGCTCCCTGCAGGGGGTGGAGCTCTTCCCACTGACCTTACACACCTGGTAGAAGCCGTGAGGGCGAACCTTCCCCGTGTCTGTGCCGATGAAGATCTGCAGGGTACAGGGCTGGTGGTAACCCAGCAACTGACAAGAAAAAAGATACAAAAAGGTTACAAAGTGTACACATTCATCACACAATAAGTACATGATAGATACATTTTGTATACGTTTTACAAAAATTGTATCATTTATTATATAGGCAAGATGAATTTACAATTATAATAATTGATAACTAATATCCTGAAGAGAAGCAGAATTCTTGAAATTTCATCTTTAATGTGAAATCCAAGATTTTCCAACCTGCTGCACACCAGGTAAGGCATCTATCTACAATGCTTTCTCAAATGACATAAAAAAAACCCCCCAAGGTCAAGCTTTCAAAGCAGCTTTACACCAATAGTATCATATAACCATTTTGAGAATTTTATATAACTACCTTGTACGTAAGCTAACACTAACACTCGATCAATATTAGTTATGAAAGAAAGTCATTCATATTTACTAGGACCTGTAACCAGATATATCAAAGCTTTAGTGCTGTGCCTGCTTTATCAGTAAAAATACCAGCATTTTTTTTTTTTTTTAAACAGTGGAATCTGCACATTTATGCCTTATTGAAGTACAGTACATTTTAGATCTTTACTTTAAACCAAGTTAAGGTCAAAAGTTATGATATTGTAAGACCCCATTCCCATACCTAGATCAAACGGGCAAGATCGACCTATCTTTGAAGGGTTTCTCGCTAAGTAACATTCTGCGTAAGTGGCTCTAATGTCTGGCACGCCTAGCTGTCAGGGGGGTAATTAACTATTGTTTAGCAGCACCAGTACGCGTGCCAGACATCTAAGGGCACATTCCCATAGATTTTAGATCGATCTATCCCCGTGGGGAGTCTCACTAGATTAAAATCAGATAATCCTGCTTAAATGTCCGTCCCTCCTACTACATGCTGTCAGGGGGTAATTAACTTTTGTGCCCGCTCGGCTGACAGCTACTTAGCGTGAACCTCCAGGGAGTTAGGTCAATCCAGTTGGATCGAACTAATCTCTGGGAATGGGGTCTTAGCCACTTAACCTGAAGGCAATTTTGCAAGAATCCCCTCAGAGATGGATCGATCATATTAGACTGATCTCGGTATGGGAACCCAGTCTAAACCCCATCTCCCAGACCCCCCCCCCCCCCCCCCCCCCCCCCCCCAGGCTGCCTCACCTGCACCACGGGGTTCCCCTGCTGGGACTCATCCTTAATAGCGCCTCGGCTGCCTTCCGTCATGTACCTGGCCCTGTGCTGCTTCTCAGGCTGGGTCACCACTTTCAGCTCATACTCTCCCACCTTAGACACAAATGCCTGAACCAGGGACGGCTCTTTCCACCCCCGGGACTTGCCCAGACACGAACCGCTCGCCTCCCGTTTCAGTCCCTTTGAAATTACTACTGGCTTTGTTGATGGCCTATAAAAAATAATAAATAATAATATAAACTGGATTAACTTAATGTAGAACAAAAATACAGAATAAAATCAATTAAATATTTAGTGTTAGACCATCCTGGACATGAAAAGATGATGATGATGAAGATGATGTTGGAATTTTCTTAATAATCATCATCACCCTCAATCTAAAATCAGTCAAGGGACAAAAATGTTACTGAGAAAAACTTCCAACAATAATGTTCTTTGGCAATCCAATGATTTCTTTTTGCCAAAATCTAAATTCTATTTGATTTACCTGACAGCAATTTTGGATAATTAGCCAGGTGAAATGGGATTCACACAGAACAGGCCAAGGTTAAACAAACTACTGAAGCCAGCAAGCCAAGCAGGATATTCAACACAGACACATAAACTATCTAAAAAACCCTTCCAGTATTTGAAACAATGGCACAAATTAGCTTGACACATACTGAAAGCTGAATACAAACATTTGTAGCATTTAATTCATGATACATTCTCTTTAAAAAGGTGCCTTTTATATAGGATTTATATAAAGCCTACATATTCTTAGCATATTGTCCTTTGCTAACTTTCTCTTACACCATAGCTTTTGCTATGCCACTGCTGAATATCAGCAACATCTTCCTAACATTAACAGACTCTTCAGCATGCCTTGGCTGCTTAGCTTCCTATAATTAGAAGTAAATTCTAAATACCAAGTTACTTCTTTTGATAAATACTTTAGAACATTTTTGGCATTCATGCCAAGAGCTGGTCAGTTTTGTGGTCAGAACTTAAGCACGTGTGGCCAGTGCTCTATCAGAAATGACCAATGCTATTTCATAAGTGGCATTAGAGTTATCACAAACAGATTTACCTGACAGGTACAATTACCACCCACAGAGTTCATGTCAAGAGATCCCAACTCACCTGGTTACTTAATACAGAGGACTAAGTTATGTGCCCAGAAGAAGCCTAGGATGAAGCACTACTTCTAGCAGATTTCTATTGGGTTTTCGAAAACCTTCTATTTTGAATTAATGGTCATTCCTTCAAGTAAGAAACTCAAAGTCTTTAAGAAAAACTTGTATTACTTGAAAACTAGGGAAACTACTAGCTAGGAGCAATAATATCATGAAGAAAACTATGCCCTTGATTCCCTCTCCCCTTGATACCCCCTCCCCAATTTTCTGAGTTACTTCAGGTTTTAGACTTTTTAGCACAGGTAGTAACTCTACCTACAGAGCACTGTCTTGAGCACAAAGACCCTTCTGCTTCATATTATTTCTGTTCTATTTATAGCTGTCCTTGGTTCAACAAACATTTATATCCAGGTCACCCAGTTTTCATGCAGATTAAAGTTCTCAGTGCAAAAGGTCTTCTTCATACCCAGACAGTCAGTAAACAACATCATGATTAATTTACTCAGCAATTTACTCTGAAAGTTACTTGGTGCCTTGAAATGAATGCTATTTCAGCATATAAGAGTAAATATATACATCTAGTGCATGGGTATTTTTCTTTTGAATGGCTTTCTTCTAAATTCAGAGACAGGAGCATTCTTCCCACATTCCTTATTTTCCTACATACAGTGTGCGTGTGTGTGTGTGTGTGTGTGGGGGGGGGGGGGCAGTCATATCATTCAGTCAATACTTTGGACTTTAAAAACCCCTCCTCCGATCCCAGCTTTACATAACCTTTTTCAAGGTCTCTCTTTTAAGGTGCAAATATCCAATTCTCCCATCAAACATATTTTAAATCTTTACAATTAAATGCTAAAAAGCTTATATACTTGACATGAAGCTGTTGCAGAGTCAGGTATGCATGTAAATACTAGCAAGCCTGGTGGTTTCCCCAGTTATCCAAACAGTAACTTAATTTTACAATCCATTAGTAAAAATGAAAGCCTCTTATATTGGTAGACAAATACATACAGCAGTATCAATTGACATTTTAACACCTAAGCCAACATAGCAACAAATAATTCATATAGATCTACTGCACTGAGAATCACAGTCTGCATTTCATAATCAATTTGCAATTGAGACTTGCCAATATTGATGTAGAGCAGTACTACTAAGTCTCTTTTTCCCATATAAACTCAATGCACTGAAAATTAAACACCAAGCAAAATATTGGAAGGATATTGGCATTGCACTCATTAAACTGAAGTGGTCTATTCTACTAGAATTTCAAAAAAAAAAAAAAATTGGTATTTACTGAGTATTTCCAAAACAAAAAGGAAAACTTTCATTTAGGCTTTTTTTGTGTGTGTCAGTTGAAAAGCTAACAAAAATCAATAACTCCAAAATGGAGACTGAGCAAGCAAAATAGCCTTGTGCCGGATGCCAGAGATTACAACGCAGAAACTGAAATAAGATGTAATGAGAAATCTCACCTTGTTTTTAGCACTGCAGACGTGCTTGTCGAATTGCCTGTGAAAGTAAACACTCCCGGCACATCTTTTCCAAATTTACTGAAAATCACAGACGCCCCATTCACGTCAAATCCTTTTTCCTGCCCAGGGGCTTTCTGCGTAGTACAATCACTTGGTCGGCTAGAGGGTGTATCATGCCTGTGGGCCTTGGCAACCTTTCTCGGCTTATTGTAATTGTTATCAAACATGCCCCCAAAATATTCTCCTTCATCTAGAGTACTGAATATGGTCTCATCATCTAAAACCAGGTCATTTGATCGCTGAACCAATGCCATTTGGGTATCTTCGGACATGCTGGCAATTGGAGTCGAAACATCGGTGCTGTCAGGCTCCTGGTCTGAGTCGGAGTGTGTGGGAGACAGAAACATTTCATCGTCTAAGTGCCTTGCCAGCTCAGTCTGTGGCTTAGAGAAGCTCTCCACCGTGCTGGATATTGGATGTGTTTCAGTGATCAAAAACTTGAGCAGTTCTTTGGGAGCGGAGCTGGCCATCACTGGCGTGACAGCGGTGGTGTCAGGCGTGATGGCTGCCACAGTGGTGATGGTCCTAGCCTCCAGAGCCACTCCTGAAGTGAGATACGTACTGGTCTCAACGGGAGTGCTTGCTGGAGCGCTGGTCTCAAATACATTATTAGCTGCCACAGAAAATGTTGGTAAACTATCAACGCAATGGCCCTGCAGAATACTAACAGCTTCCACGCTTCTATTGCCTTGGACTACAGCAGACTGTTGGCAACAAAACACAGCATTACTTGTCTGAGACACAGAAGCTTGACTTGAATACGTGCTACCCACTGACGCAGCCAAACTACTGGTACCCGTCACTACACTGTTCACATTGAAAGTATTCATGTGACTACCACTTTCTGATTTTCCTGCAGGCAAATCTGTGTTGTCTCTCAATACTTGCTGGAGGAAGGCCACTCCAGTGGCTGCGGCCCCTCGCTGTGACATCACCCCTACAGTGGCCGTTGACAAGGGCTGTGATATCATCTGCGCCAGAGATGATACGTGCTGCTGTTGATCAAACTGAAAATGCTGCTGAGAATGAGTTGAAGTTTCCGCTAGGAGTTGAACAAGCTCCTTCGTAGCTAAAGTCACAAACCCATGACCATCGTCTTCCTCGTGGCCATGCGATGTCTGCTTCTGCAGCTGTTGCTGTTGTAGTATCTGGGATGCCATGACAGAATCAAAGACATTATTGTTCTGCTGGTTTGCCAGTGGCAGAGAAATGTCTTGTTGTTGAGAAGCCCAACTCTGTTCAACTTCTTGGTGGCCTTGTAACAATGTTGTATGCTGCTGAGTAGAAGTTACAGACATGGCAGCACCTGTTTGGGCGGGAAGTGTATTTGACAGGGAACTCTGGGTATGCTGTGGCTGTGCAACCATGGGAAGTGAAGCAAAACTGTTGTGAACTACCAATGGCGGTGTTTGCTGAATCTGAAAAGACGAAGGCACCACAGAAGAAGCGACCAAAAAGTTTTGATTCTGGTCTTCTGTGCCAACCTGCATTGGCTGTTCCTGTTGCTGCTGTTGCTGTAGCAGATTCTGATGTGGTGGCTGAAGCTGGGAGAGTTGTTGTTGCTGGGGCAAACTGCTCTGCCCAGCAGGAAACTGATTCATGTCCAACCCTTGGGGTGCAGCTGCCTGTGGCTTCTGCTGCTGTTGCTGCAACTGCTGTAACAGACTTTGTTCTTGCTGCAACTGTTGCTGTATTCCTGTTTGTGGCAGCTCTTGTTGAATGCTGCTTTGCTGCTGAAGTTGTGGCAGTAACTTTTCATCCTTAACCTGTTGCTGTTCCAAATATGCCTGTAAAATGCTCTGTTTCGGTTTCAACTCCTGTTGCAAATTAGAATTAGACGGTTGCCCAAAAATTTGGCTTTGTGGCAGTTGCTGGTCTGATGGAAAATGCTGTGTTGGATTCTGCTGGTTCTGTATCCTCTGCATTGGGCTTGGTGATTCATGGCTCTGAAGCAAGGGACTCTGTTGGATTGGTCCTGGATGTTGCAGCTGATTTGGTTGACTCTGTATTGGCAGACTCACTGAAGTAGTGCAGCCTTGTATCTGGGGCTGGGCAAAAGATGTTTCAACTGGCATTTTTTGTTGTTGTCTTGGACTCTGTGGCAGGGGTGACTGCATTTGTTGTGACATTAGGTTTGGAGGGGACTGTACCTGCTGTGACATTGGACTCGGCTGTGCATGAATCTGCTGTTGTATAGGACTGTTGATGGATGTCTGCATCGGCACTGGACTTTGCTGACCCACTGAATTTTGTTGTGTCTGTATCTGGTGAATTGAAGGATTCTGCATTTGCACTGGATTCTGGATAGGGCTTGATGGTACAGATGTGTGTTGTGACATTGGACTTTGCTGAGCTTGCATTTGAATTTGCAATGGGCTCTGTGGGTCTTGGGTTTTCACAGACATTGGACTCTGTACGTGTTGAGGCACTGGACTTGATTGTGTCTGTACCTGGTGCTGTAATGGGGTTGTTTGACTTTGTATTTGATGTGTCATTGGACTCTGTGGATCTGTCATTTGCTGTAATGGGGTTGTCTGACTTTGTATTTGATGTGTCATTGGACTCTGTGGATCTGTCATTTGACTCTGCATGTGCTGAGACAATGCACCTTGTTGTTGAATCTGCATTTGCTGTTGATGTTGAATCGGACTAGGGGTAACCTGGACCTGCTGTGGAATAACGCCTGGTTGACCCTGAATATGACGTTGTATTGGATTCTGTAATGCTTGTATCTGCTGTCGCATCTGATCTAGTTGGGCCTGGATATTCTGCTGCACTGGATTCTGTTGGATTTGCTGCTGCAAAGCCGAAATCTGCTGTTGAAGAGCAGCAATTTGTAAATTTGCTGGTTCTTGTGGGGTCATATTCACCTGCAATTGCTGCTGATGCATCACCGGTTTTTGCTGTTGCTGTGACTGATTATCCAGTGGGATCTGATGAATCAAGGATTGAGGAATCATTCCTGTTTGTTGTAGCTGGGCCTGTTGGTTGTGTTGTAACTGTTGCTGGAGCAGCTGTTGTTGGGATTGTCCATGCTGCATTGGCTGTTGGTTCAAGGACTGCTGCTGTGGTTGCCCTTGCTGTAACCGCTGGTGTTGTAACGCTGACTGGTCCATCATCCCATGTTGTAAAACAGGCATGGACTGTTGTGACAAAGGGTTTGCTTCAGAGACTGCAGGACTCGATGGCTGTGCCTGCTGCACAAAAGAACTGTTTTGTCTCTGGAATGTTCCTTGTTGTTGATGAAAATGGTTATTCATTGCTGGGTCATGCTGCTGTATGAGGGGAGCACTATTTTCTCTTTGAAACGAGTCTTGCTGCTTATTTGCAGCTTGTGGTTGTTGAAAATGCCCCAGAAACTGCTGATACTGAAGCGACTGATGCTGTTGCTGTTCTTGTGGTGTCTGGAAATTCTCCTGTTGTTGGAACTGTACTTGCTGTGTGGACACATTGAAAGAACTCTGTTGAGACTGTTGGTAAGTACTAGATTGTTGATTCTGCTGCTGTTCAGTACCACCACAATGCTGCTGTCCCTTTGAGGCACCTGTCTGTACAAACATGGCCTGATCAACATGCTCAGAACTCCCTACAACAACACTGAAATGATCCGCAAAAGCACTTTCCTCCAAATGTTCTGAGAGCCCGTCCAGTTTACTGCTGTCAAAATGGTCATGATGCTGTGTGATGGTCTCCTGTGGAGAAAAAGAACTGTTTGCTGTTTCCCCATACAAGGGTTGAGATGGCTGTGACTGTTGTTGAAGATTTGACTGATTCTGTGTGGCATAACTACCATGATGTTGCTGCTGCTGATGTTGCTCATCTGTCAACATGCTACCAATGTTGGTCCCGGAAGAGCCACTATTGTGCCCAGAAGAATCCTGCCTAGTTATATTACTCCCAGACGATCCAATATTTGTATATTGGGAACTGTTCATATTGGTGGTCTGATTTGTGAAGTATTGAACAAGCTTCTGTCCCGGTGTCAGGTTACATGATGCTGCTGACTGCTGCTGGGAGTTGGTGACGTCAGGGTCCTGGTCAGAACTGAACTGACCTGCAATGGAAACAAGACCTGAATTAAATAAATGACATACTAGTACAGTAATGACTTAATCTTTTCAATGGGGGTAATTGTGAATTTTACAGATACTGTATTTTTTAAGTCTTAATTTCTTAAATCAAGAGAAAACCTATTGAGTGGTGGCGACAAAATTGAAAAGCAAACTACCTTACAGTTCTATTCTATGCAATAAATGCACCACAATTGCTATACAAAAATATGACTTTATGGTTTTAAAATTATGTATATCTGAAAGTTTTATCATGCATATAATTTTGTTTGTGACAATTCTATACAAGGAAGTTGTAATTTGATAATTTTTGCCTATTGAAAAGATCAAGTCAACTACAAGAAAAGGGTCATTAATGTTATCAAAGTGACAAAAACAGGTGATACAATGCATCTGTTTATATTCATCTAAAACGGAAATCACGAAGAGAAATGCACAAAAATTTTATCAGCATCAAAACCCAATCCCCCTTTTTTCTAGACACAAAATTTCCTACTCTTTGTAATTATATTATAATGTTTCAATACAAAAAACTGTGTACACAATACAAGTTACTAAATGATAATAAAGGTTTATAGTTCATGAGCTTTGGAAATGGTCTAACCTTAAACCCAATGTTTTACTAACAAACATTTGTGTACATCAAAGATTCCATTGTTTAATGCCATTGTAGGAAAAAAACTGTCACATAAAAGAACAAGGAAGGGCAATCAGATGCAAAGGGGGTTCAAATCACAGTGTCTCCAGCTCCAGAGTTACATTAGTATCTCCACGTCTATGGTGGTGGACGAATAAAAAAGTAAAAAAAAAATCTTACCATGTGCACTAAATGTGTCAAATTACCTCCATACAATTTATTCAATTCCATTTGGTGGAAAAGAAAACAAACACTTGGGATGAAAAAGATTTAATACTCCAAAGTAAACAGAGCTACATTTAATTTTGTTTAAAGAAAAAACACTTAAAAGCTTGCATGAAAGTACTAAAAGACAAAGATACTGTGACTTGTGACTGTTTAACTTAACAACTGACTTAAGTCAGCCATTCAAAAACATTCTCTCTCTCTCTCTCTCTTACAAAGCCACCAATGCATCAGCAGATAATATGGGCAAGTTCAACATTATCATAAAAGGAGTCAATCTGTGCAGAATAGGTAGTTTTTTTTTATATCAAACCTAATGAAACCCGATCTTAACGACATCATACAATTCAAAAGGAGTGTCCGCAATGAAGTTTCTGTGTCCTAGCATCTGGTTCTACAGTTGGCTATGGATTACGTAATCATTTTACAAAGTCATGCTTTGTATCTCAAAAACTGATATTCACGTCTCTTCTTCCTGCATCTTTTTGTGAATCGTTTTATTCTAAAATTTGACACTGACGCACACAAATAAGAAAAGTCAAAAGACATAAAAACGCACACCCTGTCACAAGCTAAGACCACTTGCTGTTATAATCAAGGATCCACTTCTACTCTTTTTTCTTTCTTTTATGTATCTATTCCCATAGATTTTAGATCGATCTATCCCCGTGGGGAGTCTCACTAGATTACTGTCAGATAATCCGTCTTAAATGTCCGTCCCGCCTACTACAAGCTGTAAGGGGGTAATTAACTTTCGTGCCCGCTCGGCTGACAGCTATTTAGCGTGAACCCCCAGGGAGTTAGGTCGATCTAGTTTGGATCGATCTAATCTCTGGGAATGGGGTCTAAGTGTTTTTGAAAACTGACCCCTATCTGTTGCACTGCAGTTGCTCTGTGTGAATAACACAGCATTTATATGGTCATTGTTCATTCACTATTGATACTTAATGTAGACTACAGACAACCAGACATAACAACTGAAATGACCAACAGACTCTGTGTCAGCCAGTCAACCATCATGTAACCTTTGAAAACTGCAGTGAGATGGAGGATTGAACCTGCTTACATTTTATTAACAAACAAGTGGGGAGCTTTGGGGCTCTGCACAGACTGCTAAAACAGAATAGCTGACTACATCAAAGTCTACTCAATGTAGTCAGTTTTAAATTTCTGTTTTCATTTTTAAAACAATTCTATCTTCACATTGCACTTTCAGTCAGTATTCTATAGTAACTTTTCCTATAATCATTTCAATTTGGGGGATATTTAGTATATCACTTTCTAAATATGCTGGGAAAAGATGGGAAAATAGTAAAGCGTTTGGCAAAAGGGTCAGATGATGCCAATTTTTAATTCAATTTATCGACGCAAGAGAAAACATTGATGGCGATAAGGGCAATGAAGGAGGAAGGTGATGACTTTTTGCTAGTAAAAAAAAAAACATCAAACTGAAATAATGAATCCACTTAATATCACATTTACTTTTCTGAGACTGTATACACATGGCCAGTCGGACCAGTGAGTTAGGGCTACCCATTTTCATTGTTTTGTGCAGTACACATTTTCACTGACCCTTACTAGTATTTTTTTCAATGACACTAATGTCATTCCTTATTGCAAGTTTTTTCTCTTTTTCATTTTAATTTCAAGTCTGGGCAAAACCTTAGAAAAGGTAGACTTAATCACATTAAATGGCGAATTTAATGCTCTAATCAACAAAGTCAACACAAAATATTTCAAGCTTACCTGTAAGTGCCATAATAACTACCCTTCCGTACTATGCGACTTTCGTGAATTCTTGCTTTTGCCAATTGAAGCGAACGAAAAGATGGCCGACCAAGAACACCCTATTGCCTATACATCTTCGGGGCCTAGCGATAAAAAAACTTGGCAGCTATTCTGCTTCTTCCTGGGTATATTACGACATACTTCTCATTATCCATCTAATTCCAGGACCTAACATCTTGTAAATTATAAATTCAATAAAAAAAATCAGCCAATAACTCTTTTTAATAGGTGCCATATAAGACTGCCTCGTCTCCTCTCCGTCAGCTAACCCCATACAATGTCTCCTTCCTTAACAATCCCAATTATGCCTGATAACTTCATCAATACAGTTCCTATTCCTCCAATATATACTTACTTACATATGTAATAATTACAAATATTTCCCTCTATGTTCTTCTCCTGACATTACAAAATTCCCTGGAATCTGCTCTCCTGGGCCACAAAATGTTAGAAAATACATATTTCAGGCTCACAACAAGCCCTGGATACTGTACATATAGCTATATTACAACTTCAGACTTGGCAGAAATAAAAAACAATTAGAGCATGCAAGATGTTTACAATGACAGGGTACACACTGGAGCATATTTATTTCGCTGACTAGCCACTGCGAGGTCAGAAGTTCACTAAGTTATGGCCTATGATGATGGTGTGGGTCAGTGGTTGGGTCATCTGGATGTCCACACCAGGTCACTATGAAATGATATGTCTACAACCATAATTACTGCTATCCAAAACACTTCCAGGTATAAATTTTCTATACATTCTGGAATACAGCACAGATGAACAGTGATATCCGTAGTTTCTGCTTCACAGCATGTGACCTTTTAAATCAGTGGTCCTAATTCATCATTTAATTCTGACAGTATATTTATAGATTACCTTCCTTTTACAAAATTATAAGAGCATTCTTGCACATGCATTTGCAGGCACTTTCACTAAGCATACTGTCTTTCATAAAAACAATTTGCTTTCCAGTATTTTCTAGCCAGAACTAAATTTTCCTATTCACAAACCATTGTGCACAAATTTGATGAGTTTTAATACGATTATAATCAAATAAATTTAATTCTAAATGACAGGCCTATGGCTATATCTTCCTGTATATTTGACTAGGAAATATCAACATCAAGTATTTTTATTTTGGGGTTTTAAACCTTTTATCAGAACTAGAAATTTTTATTTAGGGTTTTTAACCTTTAATCAGAACTAGAAATTACAAGTATCTCAATTTGAAGGGAATGAAGGCACCAAAATTTTGACTATAGAGCATTATTAAACAAAGATAGTATTAATTACATACTCAATTGCTGTATCCACATTGTACAGTACACCTAACTGGACCAGACTCTTACATAACAGACAGGCTATTAAGTTGTCACTCTCTCACAGTGGATCGGTCCAGTAAAATTTTTACTGCTCGTTAAAAAGGCCAATCTCTCTTGACCCACTTATAGTGATTTAGCAAGTCGTGAATATCCATTCTGCACCATGAACCAGGTCAATATATTCTATTTAAACATCAAACAAGTATATGATCATACATAGGTCATGTGAGTAAAGTGTGTCCTTTATGCTACTGTGTACCAGATAACTGCTTGATTGATTTTTAGAAGACAACATCAATAGCATCACAACGTCATACAAAATTCTATGAGGATGAAAATAAAGAGAAAGTATGTCCTTTCCCTATATTGACTAAAGGATACNTTAAGTTGGGAGGGGACTGTACCTGCTGTGACATTGGACTTGGCTGTGCATGAATCTGCTGTTGTATAGGACTGTTGATGGATGGTTGCATCGGCACTGGACTTTGCTGACCCACTGAATTTTGTTGTGTCTGTATCTGGTGAATTGAAGGATTCTGCATTTGCACTGGATTCTGGATAGGGCTTGATGGTACAGATGTGTGTTGTGACATTGGACTTTGCTGAGCTTGCATTTGAATTTGCAATGGGCTCTGTGGGTCTTGGGTTTTCACAGACATTGGACTCTGTACGTGTTGAGGCACTGGACTTGGTTGTGTCTGTACCTGGTGCTGTAATGGGGTTGTTTGACTTTGTATCTGATGTGTCACTGGACTCTGTGGATCTGCCCTTTGCTGTAATGGGGTTGTCTGACTTTGTATTTGATGTGTCATTGGACTCTGTGGATCTGTCATTTGACTCTGCATGTGCTGAGACAATGCACCTTGTTGTTGAATCTGCATTTGCTGTTGATGTTGAATCGGACTAGGGGTAACCTGGACCTGCTGTGGAATAACACCTGGTTGACCCTGAATATGACGTTGTATTGGATTCTGTAATGCTTGTATCTGCTGTCGCATCTGATCTAGTTGGGCTTGGATATTCTGCTGCACTGGATTCTGTTGGATTTGCTGCTGCAAAGCCGAAATCTGCTGTTGAAGAGCAGCAATTTGTAAATTTGCTGGTTCTTGTGGGGCCATATTCACCTGCAACTGCTGCTGATGCATCACCGGTTTTTGCTGTTGCTGTGACTGATTATCCAGTGGGATCTGATGAATCAAGGATTGAGGAATCATTCCTGTTTGTTGTAGCTGGGCCTGTTGGTTGTGTTGTAACTGTTGCTGGAGCAGCTGTTGTTGGGATTGTCCATGCTGCATTGGCTGTTGGTTCAAAGACTGCTGCTGTGGTTGCCCTTGCTGTAACCGCTGGTGTTGTAACGCTGACTGGTCCATCATCCCATGTTGTAAAACAGGCATGGACTGTTGTGACAAAGGGTTTGCTTCAGATACTGCAGGACTCGATGGCTGTGCCTGCTGCACAAAAGAACTGTTTTGTCTCTGGAACGTTCCTTGTTGTTGATGAAAATGGCTATTCATTGCTGAGTCATGCTGCTGTATAAGGGGAGTACTGTTTTCTCTTTGAAACGAGTCTTGCTGCTTATTTGCAGCTTGTGGTTGTTGAAAATGCCCAAGAAACTGCTGATATTGAAGCGACTGATGCTGTTGCTGTTCTTGTGGCGTCTGGAAATTCTCCTGTTGTTGGAACTGTACTTGCTGTGTGGATACATTGAAAGAGCTCTGTTGAGACTGTTGGTAAGTACTAGATTGTTGATTCTGTTGCTGTTCAGTACCACCACAATGCTGCTGTGCCTTTGAGGCACCTGTCTGTACAAAAATGGCCTGATCAACGTGCTCAGAACTCCCTACAACAACACTGAAATGATCCGCAAAAGCACTTTCCTCCAAATGTTCTGAGAGCCCGTCCAGTTTACTGCTGTCAAAATGGTCATGATGCTGTGTGATGGTCTCCTGTGGAGAAAAAGAACTGTTTGCTGTTTCCCCATACAAGGGTTGAGATGGCTGTGACTGTTGTTGAAGATTTGACTGATTCTGTGTGGCATAACTACCATGATGTTGCTGCTGCTGATGTTGCTCATCTGTCAACATGCTACCAATGTTGGTCCCGGAAGATCCACTATTGTGCCCAGAAGAATCCTGCCTAGTTATATTACTCCCAGACGATCCAATATTTGCATATTGGGAACTGTTCATATTGGTGGTCTGACTTGTGAAGTATTGAACAAGCTTCTGTCCCGGTGTCAGGTTACATGATGCTGCAGACTGCTGCTGGGAGTTGGTGACGTCAGGGTCCTGGTCAGAACTGAACTGACCTGCAATGGAAACAACACCTGAATTAAATAAATGACATACTAGTACAGTAATGACTTAATCTTTTCAATGGGGGTAATTGTGAATTTTACAGATACTGTATTTTTTAAGTCTTAATTTCTTAATTCAAGAGAAAACCTATTGAGTGGTGGCAACAAAATTGAAAAGCAAACTACCTTACAGTTCTATTCTATGCAATAAATGCACCACAAATGCTATACAAAAATATGACTTTATGGTTTTAAAATTATGTATATCTGAAAGTTTTATCATGCATATAATTTTGTTTGTGACAATTCTATACAAGGAAGTTGTAATTTGATAATTTTTGCCTATTGAAAAGATCAAGTCAACTACAAGAAAAGGGTCATTAATGTTATCAAAGTGACAAAAACAGGTGATACAATGCATCTGTTTATATTCATCTAAAACGGAAATCACGAAGAGAAATGCACAAAAATTTTATCAGCATCAAAGCCCAATCCCCCTTTTTTCTAGACACAAAATTTCCTACTCTTTGTAATTATATTATAATTTTTCAATACAAAAAACTGTGTACACAATACAAGTTACTAAATGATAATAAAGGTTTATAGTTCATGAGCTTTGGAAATGGTCTTACCTTAAACCCAATGTTTTACTAACAAACATTTGTGTACATCAAAGATTCCATTGTTTAATGCCATTGTAGGAAAAAAACTGTCACATAAAAGAACAAGGAAGGGCAATCAGATGCAAAGGGGGTTCAAATCACAGTGTCTCCAGCTCCAGAGTCCAGAGTTACATTAGTATCTCCACGTCTATGGTGGTGGACGAATAAAAAAGTAAAAAAAAAATCTTACCATGTGCACTAAATGTGTCAAATTACCTCCATACAATTTATTCAATTCCATTTGGTGGAAAAGAAAACAAACACTTGGGATGAAAACGATTTAATACTCCAAAGTAAACAGAGCTATATTTTATTTTGTTTAAAGAAAAAACACTTAAAAGCTTGCATGAAAGTACTAAAAGAAAAAGATACTGTGACTTGTGCCTGTTTGACATTACAACTGACTTAAGTGAGCCTTTCAAAAACATTCTCTCTCTCTCTCTCTCTCTTACAAAGCCACCAATGCATCAGCAGATAATATGGGCAAGTTCAACATTATCATAAAAGGAGTCAAACTGTGCAGTAAAGGCATTTTTTTTTTTTAATAAAAGCCAAAGAAACCTGATCTAAGTGGCATCATACAATTCAAAAGGAGTGTCCGCAATGAAGTTTCTGTGTCCTAGCATCTGGTTCTACAACTGACTATGGATTACGTAATCATTCTCCAAAGTCATGCTTTGTACCTCAAAAATTGATATTCACGTCTCTTCTTCCTGCATCTTTTTGTGAATCGTTTTATTCTAAAATTTGACACTGACTCACACAAATAAGAAAAGTCAAATATCACATAAAAACGCACATCCAGTCACAAGCTAAGACCACTTGCAGTTAAAATCAAGGATCCACTTCTACTCTTTTTTCTTTCTTTTATGTATCTTTAAGGGAGTATTCCCATAGATTTTTAGATCGATCTATCCCCGTGGGGAGTCTCACTAGATTACTGTCAGATAATCCGGCTTAAATGTCCATCCCGCCTACTACAAGCTGTAAGGGGGTAATTAACTTTCGTGCCCGCTCGGCTGACAGCTATTTAGCGTGAACCCCCAGGGAGTTAGGTCGATCTAGTTTGGATCAATCTAATCTCTGGGAATGGGGTCTAAGTGTTTTTGAAAACTGACCCCTATCTGTTGCACTGCAGTTGCTCTGGGTGAATAACACAGCATTTATATGGTCATTGTTCATTCACTATTGATACTTAATGTAGACTACAGACAACCAGACATAATAACTGAAATGACCAACAGACCCTGTGTCAGCCAGTCAACCATCACGTAACCTTTGAAAACTGCAGTGGATTGAACCTGCTTATATTTTATTAACAAACAACTGGGGAGCTTTGGGGCTCTGCACAGACTGCTAAAACTAAATAGCTGACTACATAAAAGTCTACTCAGTGTAGTCAGTTTTAAATTTCTGTTTTCATTTATAAAACAATTCTATCTTCACATATCACTTTCAGTCAGTATTCTATAGTTACTTTTCCTATAATCATTTCAATTTGGGGGATATTTAGCATATCACTTTCTAAATATGCTGGGAAAAGATGGGAAAATAGTAAAGCGTTTGGCAAAAGGGTCAGATGATGCCAATTTTTAATTCAATTTATCGATGCAAGAGAAAACATCGATGGCGATAAGGGCAATGAAGGAGGAAGGTGATGACTTTTTGCTAGTAAAAAAAAAAAACATCGAACTGAAATAATGAATCCACATTTACTTTTCTGAGACTGTATACACATGGCCAGTCGGACCAGTGAGTGAGGGCTACCCATTTTCATTGCTTTGTGCAGTACACATTTTCACTGACCCTTACTAGTATTTTTTTCAATGACACTAATGTCATTCCTTATTGCAAGTTTTTTCTCTTTTTCATTTTAATTTCAAGTCTGGGCAAAACCTCAGAAGGTAGACTTAATCACATTAAATGGCGAATTTTCACTGACCCTTACTAGTATTTTTTTCAATGACACTAATGTCATTCCTTATTGCAAGTTTTTTCTCTTTTTCATTTTAATTTCAAGTCTGGGCAAAACCTCAGAAGGTAGACTTAATCACATTAAATGGCGAATTTAATGCTCTAATCAACAAAGTCAACACAAAATATTTCAAGCTTACTTGTAAGTGCCATAATAACTACCCTTCCGTACTATGCGATTTTCGTGAATTCCTGCTTTTGCCAGTTGAAGCGAACGAAAAGATGGCCGACCAAGAACACCCTATTGCCTATACATCCTCGGGGCCTAGCGATAAAAAAAACTTGGCAGCTATTCTGCTTCTTCCTGGGTATATTACGACATACTTCTCATTATCCATCTAATTCCAGGACCTAACATCTTGCAAATTATAAATTCAATAAAAAAAATCAGCCAATAACTCCTTTTAATAGGTGCCATATAAGACTGCCTCGTCTCCTCTCCGTCAGCTAACCCCATACAATGTCTCCTTCCTTAACAATCCCAATTATGCCTGATAACTTCATCAATACAGTTCCTATTCCTCCAATATATACTTACTTACATATGTAATAATTACAAATATTTCCCTCTATGTTCTTCTCCTGACATTACAAAATTCCCTGGAATCTGCTCTCCTGGGCCACAAAATGTTAGAAAATACATATTTCAGGCTCACAACAAGCCCTGGATACTGTACATATAGCTATATTACAACTTCAGACTTGGCAGAAAAAAAAAACCAACTAGAGCATGCAAGATGTTAACAATGACAGGGTACACACTGGAGCATATTTATTTCCCTGACTAGCCACTGCGAGGTCAGAAGTTCACTAAGTTATGGCCTATGATGATGGTGTGGATCAGTGGTTGGGTCATCTGGATGTCCACACCAGGTCACTATGAAATGATATGTCTACAACCATAATTACCGCTATCCAAAACACTTCCAGGTATAAATTTTCTATACATTCTGGAATACAGCACAGATGAACAGTGATATCCGTAGTTTCTGCTTCACAGCATGTGACCTTTTAAATCAGTGGTCCTAATTCATCATTTAATTCTGACAGTATATTTATAGATTACCTTCCTTTTACAAAATTATAAGAGCATTCTTGCACATGCATTTGCAGGCACTTTCACTAAGCATACTGTCTTTCATAAAAACAATTTGCTTTCCAGTATTTTCTAGCCAGATCTAAATTTTCCTATTCACAAACCATTGTGCACAAATTTGATGAGTTTTAATACGATTATAATCAAATAAATTTAATTCTAAATGACAGGCCTATGGCTATATCTTCCTGTACATTTGACTAGGAAATATCAACATCAAGTATTTTATTATAGGGTTTTTAACCTTTTATCATTTTTAAGCTCTGAACTAGAAATTACAAGTATCTCAATTTGAAGGGAATGAAGGCACCGAAATTTTGACAATAGAGCATTGTTAAACAAAGATACTATTAATTACACACTCAATTGCCGTATCTACATTGTACGGTACACCTAACAAGACCAGTCTCTTACACAACAGACAGGCTATTAAGTTGTCACTCTCTCACAGTGGATCGGTCCAGTAAAATGTTTACTGCTCGTTAAAAAGGCCAATCTCTCTTGACCCACTTATAATGATTTAGCAAGTCGTAAATATCCATTCTGCACCATGAACCAGGTCAATATATTCTATTTAAACATCACACAAGTATACGAATCATGATCATACATAGGTCATGTGAGTAAAGTGTGTCCATTATGCTACTGTGTACCAGATAACTGCTTGATTGATTTTTAGAAGACAACATCAATAGCATCACAACGTCATTCAAAATTCTATGAGGATGAAAATAAAGAGAAAGTATGTCCTTTTCCTAAATTGACTAAAGGATGCACAGTAATGGTGTACTGCAGTGACGCAGGTAGGAGGGGGGGACATATCTGATTACAGGGATGACGGTATCCTCAGCAGATCTCATGTTAACCTTATTAAATATAACATTCTCAAAATCGGTCAACGACCCTACGGATTCACAAATGCCACAAATACCACAAACTTCAAGTAAACAGAGATAAAACACTTACATTCATCGTCTTCAAGACACGATTTTCCCGCTGACATGCTCCCCTGGATATCGTCTTGAGTATCCTCCAACGGAGTTACAGTTTTTGTTTCTTTCATTAAGGATCGTTTGTCATATTTACAATGCTAGATTCCACTGCGACCATCTTGCTTGGATGTAATCCGAGATTTACAGCCTCGCCGAGGCGATTTGCTGCTTTTCTTTTCGCGTAATGCCTCTGTCCTTCTGATTGGTTACAATTCTATTTGCATAATATATTCAGAAAAGTAACCAATCAAAAATTGTGGAACATTGACGTGTTTGTCGACAAAGAGCAAAAGGTCTCGAGTGAAGGCGGAACGCAACATTATGTTTCACTTGTATTAATCAGACGATAAGTGTGATACACTTCTAATTCTTTCATAAACTGACACAGAGTTCTACATATTATATAAATCTATCTATAACCAGTTTCGCATTCCTTTTTTGCTACACAGCCGGGGAATCCCCACTGTTTACATCCGGTTAGTGGAGTGTGAAGGGGTGAGGCAGGTGAGCTCGAGAAACTGATTTGTACAACTCTAAAAATATTTTGTTTTTGTTGCTGTTTATTATCCAAAAGAGCAAAATTGTGACGAAAAATTGAAATTTTGTAAGTGAAATGGCCTTCTTTGGCATTAGGCAAACGGAGAAAGTTTCGCCTTGGCTAAGTTCAGTGGTTTGACCTGGCCCCGACAGTCGCTCTAGAACTGTGCATTCCTGGTCAACAGCTTGACCGTCATTTCAGGACATAGGGCTGTGTATGACCTTGTTTTATGGAGACTCGTCCTGATCGCCAGAGAGATCGAGTATTTTGCTTACATGTTACATAATAACATTAGAAAATCTTCAAGAGAAAAACACAGTATATATCCATACGTCACAGTGTTTTTCCACGCACAACACGTATCCCCCCTAGCCCCCACCCCCACCCCCACCCACCAACCCCGGCTCTCTCTTTTCTGCTGGTGTGACAGGAATGGTAGCTAGGAACCGTAGTCCGTTCCCCATTACTTTGTACAGGTGATATTGGATATATATCTTACCCCAATACTCCGACATGTACTAATCATGTGTAATTTAACATACTACATATGTAAACATATATAATTGTATATCCATATATATTGTGTAAATAATGTAGTCTAGAGAGCCTGCAAATGTATTCATATCATTTAGTGCTCAAGAAACTAACGATTATTATTAATCATACAGGTGTATATGGGACCCCAAGACTTTATTTTTAGGAAGACCATTCCTGTCACACCTCTCAATATGTATGGTCATTACTATCATTTAATCAGCCTTTATCCGACCCATTTTTGGGCTATGTAGGGAGCTATTTCAGGAGGTTCCTCAGTTAACTTCAATCTGAAGAATGTAACAATCTATTCAGGAGGGGCTATTTCTATCTGTCACAAAAGAGCAAGTGATTAAAATCAGAGCAATTAACTGTCTTGATTGCTGTTAAGGGGACTTGGCTTGGGTCTGTTAAGTGGCAGGACCTCAGTAGTTATGCAAACAATTACCATGCAGCCATATAATCATCCTTGAGATTCCATCACAGGGTCTCATAGAACCAAATTACTGTCAATTTATCTAAAGCTATATCTGTGAATATCTTGTGAAAAATCAATCTGTGGTCCTGATAGAGGGAAACAGGGTAAGGGGTATACCAGAATGATGATTATATTACATTAATGCCACCACTGACCAGGCCTGTAGGCAGCAAATTCAAAGGAGTGGTTTTTTTTTTTTTAAAAAGTGGACCTTTTGCAATGAAGCCTGTGTGTACTTAGATCAAATTTTACCCAAAGGGGCCTTTTCCTGACAAAAAGGGCAGTTCTTTCGAACCCCCCCCCCCCCCGAACCCCCTGGCTACAGGCCTGACTGACAGTAAATTAAGACCCCATTTCCAGAGATTAGATTGATCTACTTTAGATTGACCTAACTCCCTGGTGGTTCACGCTAAATAGCTGTCAGCCAAGTGGACACCAAAGTTTATAACCCCCTTACAGCTTGTAGTAGGCGGGACGGACATTTAAGCCGGATTTTCTGACAGTAATCTAGTGAGACTCCCCGCGGGGATAGATCGATCTAAAAGCTCTGGGAATACAGCCTAAGCTCCAATCATGGACAGTTTTCACAGCATTATATAGAATCGTGACTCTAGGAAACTTTTTAAACTTAAAAGTACAAAAATTAAATAAAAACCGGTAGAGGGAGAGATTTTTTGAAGCTATTCTATGTTGTCCAATGAATCTACACCCTCTCACTCATTCATTAATTACTAGTAAAGTGTTTTCAGTGCCTACAGTTTATTACTCAATTCTGCAGCTACATTTTTCCATTTTTTCCCATTTTACTATTAAAAGCACCATCATTCATAGTATTGTTGTCAATATAACAATCTTGGCTATGGCTTTATCATAATGTCAAATTATTGTATCCAGTGGAGAGAAGGTTTGAAGGAAAATATTCATGGGCGTTTTGTCAAAATAAAGCCTCTTTTGTAAATAATCAGCTTATATGTTTCTAATATCATTTAAAACATAAACAGGCAAAGGCAGATTTTAGGACTGAGGCCAGAGAAAAATTACTGTCATTTTCTTCTGTATACGTATACACTGATGAGACTTTTACGACTTTTTCAGGCTCATTTGGGTCATTCTTGTGAATAGTGTACCCTGGACTTCTGGCCAATTTTCCTACTTTTTCAGTGAGGACTGGTCTCATCCCTGCATATACTACTTGCCCCTGCAAAAATTTCTCTCATTTAATGCTCACTTACTGTTCTCAATCTGGCCTAAAACATAATGTTTTTCTCTTTTATGAAAAATGTTCTTAATCTGTTCTAGGATTCTGAAGGACTTCCCAAAAACAGTTCTTGAACTGTTACATTCATTACAGAACAGCATTAGAACTGTAAAATAAAAATATTCCAAATGTTCTAGAATATGAGAACTGTAAGTGAACATTGAATGAGAAATTTTCGCAAGGGTAGTGCTGATGTCTCTGCCAGAAGTGATGATTCAAACACAATGCACTATCAGTATTGTTGTCTCAACTACAGCAATCTCTGTATAGTGATATTAACAAGATAACACTATGCATATTTCACATAAATAATTTTTAAAAAATTAATCTGTGTTAGACTAGTCTAAATGATGATGTTGGCTCTACCGCTCAAAGACCTCAGCCAGTCTGAGAATAGAAAATAGGATGACAAAACATTATCTGCACAGAATACAGCACAAAACCAGGAATACTTCTTCCTGAATTCATGTTCAAAGGGCATGAGCTGATAAATCATACGACTTTATGGCAGAATATTGTTTTGATAACATTGTTCATGATACAATTAGACATCAAAAGCACTGTTTTACAATGTGAAGCAAAAGATGCTCTTGGGGAAATTGTTGTTGAAACAAACCCTATAACTTTGAGTTGTTGTTTAATGTCATGAACAGAAAATTCCACTTGAACTACTGGTAAGCACATGGAGGCAGGACTAAAATATGTGGTTTGTTTTGGAAACCACAACAATAAAGATATAATGCAAAGAAGTTTTCGTGGGTCATATTGCTTTGGATGGAAAGTTACAGTACGGTATAAGTTACACCAAAAATTAAACATCAATGTTTTTTTTTAAATAGTCATTGCATAATTTGTAGCCAAAGAGTGGAATTTTCCTTTACCCATGCATAGGTTGGTTGTCCACCAGAAGTAAAATATTCTCTTTGCAAATCTAACCCAGTGCATTATCAGAAGTCTATTTTATTAGAAAATAAGTTTGAACTTATTTAAAGATTGATGTATTACATAATATTTTTACATTAAAGGTCCATTTTACCATCAGATAAATATAGCAAAGAGAACAAAATTACAACTGTGCAAAAAACTTTTCTGAAGTCTTCCTTTTGTCCATGTTTGACCGAGATGGGCTAAGCTCAGTGGATATTTTTTAGGGTGACAATAGGGAAGCAGCAGTTGGAATTTTTCATAAAAAGGTAGTTTTAGCAATTTTCCATTTGTTCTCTTTGAGAGGAAAAAAATTAAAATGATAACAACTCTTTGTATGAGATCTATATTTCACAATAAATACATTGGAAACAATTCGTAGAAATACAATGTCTTCTATTTTACCACAAAAACGACAGTTTCAGCTGTGAAATCTATGCTTGCCATCAGACCACGTTAGTACAAAAAACAAACTTTAAAAAAAATTAAACAGGGCTAACTTTGAATGTAGAAATGGATTCATTAACCATTGGTAACTATGAGAAAATTGTCTTTTACCCCAGGAAAATTCATGTTTTGGACAAAATGAACAATTGTTAGCCTTTTAATCTGTGAAGGAAGAATACAGTAGCCTGGATGTCAGACATGTTGAGAGCAGCCAGGATTGAAGTGACGGAGGTGGCTTGCCTTGTGATGTGCCGCTGCAGCTATATCCGCACAGCACTTACTTCAAAGTAAACTGCCAGCAGGAAAGCTCCAATGTGTTAGACTTGATGGACTGGTGCCTTTGAGCAGCCTTTCTTTTTAGTACCAGTTTAGAACAGTTGATTTGCCCACAAAATACCAACATGTTTTTGAACTGAAAACATTGATATCATTACAGTTTTGAATGTAATACAAAAAAAAAAGGAAAAGAGATTTGAAATATATATTTATATCATTGATCGTTCCAGGGCTTTAGCAAGATTATAATGCCTGTGGTTTGAATGGCTAAGGATGGACTGGTCAACAACACCCTTGCCCCCACCCTCCCTCTCTCTACCACGATCAGCCCAAATGACCGCTCGTCTGTCGGTTCTTCTGGCCAGTCCGTCTGGTTACCGCTAGGGCTGACCTTTGCTGTGGTACTGATCATTATCGTCATGGTCGTCCTTGCCAAGACCAAGAAGAGAGCTGCGGCCATGCAAGCCAGCCAGAATGCTGAGCCACATATTACTAGTGTCAGTGGAACCATGGGATCTAGTAAGTTGATTGTGGTGGTTATGATCTAGTAAGTTAATTGTGGTAGTTGAGATATAGTAAGTTGATTGTGGTAGTTGTGATCTAGTAAGTTGATTGTGGTGGTTGTGATCTAGTAAGTTGATTATGGTAGTTGTGATCTAGTAAGTTGATTATGGTGGTTGTGATCTAGTAAGTTGATTGTGGTAGCTGTAACAGTGTGGAATTGTGCTCAGTGTGCCACAAAAAAAAATTGGTCTTGTCAACCTAATTCAATGTTTGTAACTTTTCAGTCTTTCAGACTGGTGATTGATACCTTTTTATGTACAGACACAGATGTTTCGGTACATATAGCAGTCCCCTGTGTCTTTTGCCATCGTTTGCGTATTTAATTGGGGTAGTTCTGTACTGGTTTGCATTTTTTGAAATTTTGTTCATACTGTGTAATATTGCAATCATAAGATGAAAATTAAAGCCATTAAACATACATATAGTAGAGGGTTTATCATGAAAGGGTATTTTTAGCAGCCATAATGGGATTTCCAGGAATTTCCCTGTGTTATCTACATTGCATAATTTAAAATTGATGGTGGTTATAAACTGTGAAGCATTGTGTAACATTGCATCAAAATTGATAAAAATATTTAATGTACTGCCACTACAAATGCTCCAAAAGGAAAACTTTGTTACTTGTTATTTTGTAATGTAAAAGAATGACTGACATACAGCTCATATTGGCAAACCTGATTGTTTGCATTTCCCCCCCCCCCCCCCTTATTGTCTGTACATTTAACAGCTTTGCTGCCTTTTTAAAAATTTCTTATCAGTTTTAAAGAGTAGGTTAAGAAGGTTAAGAAGCCAGTACCTTTAACAATTGAGTAAATGGCTATTTTTACCTTTTTCAAAACCAGTTGAATGTAGAATGAATGAGAGAAGTTTTAATGTCACTGTGGTTTCAAGCAAAGAATGCAACATTTTAGTGTCATTTTCTGGATGAGTAATTAAAAAAGAAATGCCACCATGAACCAGTAGTTAAACTCATGTCTTTTTTATGACTAGATGTGAATGTGTACAGAAACTATGGTATCCACACAAGTCGTCAGACCTTGACCTCTTCTCTAAGTGGAGATCAGTTGACCTGTTCTACTGCCACCCTGCCCCCAACACAACCCCCCACACAACCCCCCACACAGCCCCCTAGCTATGATGAAGTCATGAGGGCAGAGCAAGGTGGCAGTCAGCTAGGAGATCAGCAGGTTTGATCATGTTATTTGTGGCTTTATCTCTCTCTCTCTCTCTCTCTCTCACACACACACACACACACACACACACACATATATACTCAAGCAAAAAACTGTCTCCCCCTTTGATCCTTTTTTAATTCTTTATTCAATTTTCCAACTCTTATATTCATTTTTTATTTAGAGCAAAGGCACACCTTTTTTATAGGTGAAGTTATCAAAGACGAGGGAAGTCTTTCAAACCATTACCTAACAGTATGAACGCTTTTTGGCTTGTGTTGATTATTTTCAATTATGATCCAACTACCAAGCTAATGAATATTTTTGCTGATTTTCTTTATAGGGTTTTGCAGATGTCCAGCAAGTGTTGGCCAGAATCGATAGTCAGTCTTCCCGCAACTCGTCCTCTCCCATTGGCTCAGCTGCTGCATCCCCAGCTCCGTCTTACACATCTTATGCTCTGCAGTCTTGAGAGGAAAATGTCAGTGTGTGTGCAGGAGCGGATTCAGACGATCTTCTGGGTCTTCTGGAAGACTGTCAGATTTTCGAGTTTACTTTGATGGGTATCTTACTTTTACTGTTGGAAGATGGGTCAAAAATAGATGATGGATCAACAAAGTTAATTTGGAAGACTGTCAGAAAATATATCTCTAGATCTGCCCCTCGTGCATGTGTTTGTGTGTCCTGTAAACCCTTTGTATGTCTGCTAAACCAGATGATGAGAAAGAAAGAACCAGTAGTTAAAATTAGTAATCTCCATGTAATGTCACTGAAGTTTATGTGGATATTGATCATGATTTCATTGAAGTAAAGCCTTTAGCAATAGTCAAATTATCAAAAAAAAATTTAAACCAAATTTATATTTTTTTTATGTGTCGTAAATGTCTTGTCCTTTTTATGTTTTCTCATACATTGTATGCAATAGCAGTATTATACAATAATTACTCAAAAAGCTATGTCATTAAGTGTCAATAAGAGCAGCTTTTAGATGGATCTTAAGATGAAACAATCTTGGGTCCATCAATCATCATCAAACAACTGTGCAGATTCATTGAGTATTTAACTGTGGCATTGTCACTGGTCACCAGTTGTTCCCACCCGACCCACCAACATGGTCTGGTGACAATTTTTTTTTACCCGAAAGGGTTTTTGTTTAAAGGGATAACAACTGTTCATTTTGGCCAAAAAATGAATTTTCAAGGGGTAAACAACAATTATCCCATACTAGATAATGGTTGTTTATTCATTTCTACATTTAAGGTTAGTCCCAGGTTTTTGTCTTTTTTTTTTTTTTAATAATCTCTTCAGAGTATTGCTATCTACCAGTATGGCCGGTAGATGGAGGTCAAATGATCAGTTATATGAAGAGTTGTTATCCCTTTAAAATCTAGTGGTGTTTCTTTTTGAACTATTTGCTATTAACGTTTTTTTCTTTAGTTTTTGCATTTATAGCTAGTGGTGAAAGAAAAAGATCCAAGTGCAATATGATGAAAAGGATTGGGAAAATTTTTTAGGTACTGAAAAAAGGACTCTGATTGGATTTTTGATTCTTTTCCTCTTCATATCCAGATATTTATTCAGTATGTGATATATACCTTTTTTATTATGTCTTATGTCATAAGTGAAGCCCTTTACCATCTTTTGCCATCATGGTCCCCTCAATTATTAAAAAAAATGTTTTTGTTTTACATATGGTATATTTATGGCATGGTATTCTTGCCAACCTCAAAAGTCGTTTTATGTTGATACTGCTTTGTACTACTTAAAGTAACTAAAAGTTTATATGCTATTTACCTACATATATAACTGTATATTTAGATATGCACATTCGTACAGCTGATAAGATTCATGATAGACAGAGGACCATTTTGTAATGTAATGCAACAAAAAAAGGAGTTTTTGAGAACTGTAAACGTTTTCTGCTGCTTTTCTAGAATAATGATCTATATTTGTTATATATATTTTGTAGCATAGGGTGCAAGTCCAGTGTCTTCTTTATAACATTCCCAGTTTGTTAGAATTATGTTATAGTTTATTAAGATGCTAATATTGAATTTTTCTACTACATTCCTTTGCAAAGTTTTATATATCTCTTTGATTTTTCCAGTTGAACAAACTGGCTTTTGTCGATTTGTAAAATATAGCATGTTTAATTTTTTTTTATCATGTAGAGAAAGATGTTTTCTGTCTATTTATTATCTAGTGACTGGATAACTGTAGACAGTGAATTATTACAGGTACCAAAATAATTTATTAAAAGATATAATGATATTTGCAGTAAATGTGTTATATTTTGTTTCTGATGTTTATAAGAATAACTAGAAAATTTGCCTTTTGAAAGTCCCATTTATTATGCCAAACATTGAACAATTTTAACTTAAAAGTATTACAATAGTATGTGCAAATAAAAAGTGTAGTTAAAAAACCATTTACAGAGGGAAAATAGCCATGTATTCTAAAATATAATCATGAAGCACATGTCAGTAAAATCCTTTGTGCATTTTTTTTAAATCTATCACAGAATAGTACACCTAGCATTGTGTTGGGTAAGGCAATATATATTTTATTGGAACCTGATGTTTTTTTCTATTTGATTTCTCTCCTGGATTCTGGCTACAATTGCAATATTGTATAATTATCCCTTTGATGAAGTAATGGCGCTCCCGTCCCCGTAATATCAAAAGAGATTATGCAATTTTTTTACCATTTGAAGTCATTTCAGTATGTACAATGGATATTCAATAAAAGTAAACTCACAGAAAACAAAAGTACATTGCCTTTTGTGTCTTGCTTCTGATAAAATCATCCAAAGCTGGGCCCAGGTTCATAAATGACGTTAAGCACTAACCAGTGGATAAATTCTCCTAACACCCCTTATCTGAACGATAGTTATAGTTGTGTCCTAAAGGATAAAAAATATATATCAGACATTCAATACAACTCATCATCCTGAAAATTATGGTGCAATACGTCAACAAAAGTTTTTGTTTACAATTTTGCACAAATTTCGTTTGTGTGGTTGCAAAGATGCCTTTTTATGTACAGACACAGATGTGTCTGTACATATTGCCATCACCTGCGTCTGTCGTCGCCGATGCCGTCGCCGGCGCCGTGCACTTTCCTTGTTTTTTTTTTTTTTTTTTTTAGGCCACACTTTTTTATTTTTTATTTTTATGGATGACATCCTCTGGGGACCCCAAAATCGGTGCGAGCGGGCGAAAAAAAAAAGTCCCCCCCAAAAAAAAAAAAAACTGCTTAAGAAAAGTTATGCCGTCAGTACACAGCTGGAAACACTAATTTACCGCAGAAACATGTATCAAACTAACAACATGTTTTTATCCATGCTCTCAAAATATTAAAGCATTGTGAATAGGGCCTACTTCGTAGAAAGGTAAAAAGTCATGAATATATATGCTGCATATTACCAAATCTATTTAAGGTTTTTTCATGCATTCTGTTGGTATAGCAATCAATAAAACAAATATCAAATAAACAGCGTGTCTTTATTTGTACTCTCAGAAAATTAAAGCATTGTAAACACTTCACAGAATTGTTAAAAAAATGACCCCTTTTTTTCGCTACAAAAAAAAACCCTGGTATGTGCTGCTTTGGACAGAATGTCACTGAAATTTTCCGGGCGATGATCGCTGGCCGCTGCCAGCCTTTCGTATAATTGTAAAAAGGTGATATCTCCATGTCCAATATCAATGGCAAACCAATCCAAAACGACGGCCCCCGTTCTCTTTATGACTTTAATATGTCGTGTATTTTGAAATAAATGCTAGAGATGAATTTGACGGCAAAGCGGCCATATTTCCACGTGGTGATAATACGCATGTGCAGAAAGCTCATTTTCCGCACTTGGAACTACTCGGATGTCTCCGCAGTCGACAATGACAGTATGGAGCTTGCGGAATTAGCCGAGGATTGCCGATTGCATTTTCCGGCAAATTCAATATCGACGTTTGCGACAACCGACTTCCTTTTGGG